TCTTGTTTTTTTTTTTTTTTTTTTTTTGTAGTTTTTAGAGGGGATACAGCTGAAATACCACAGTAAAGCTCAGGAGACTGGTGTGTATATCATTGGAAGCTGTGGGTTTGATTCAATCCCAGCAGATATGGGCATCTGTTATACACAGGATCACTTCAAAGGTGGGTTGCATGTCTGTGAATTTTTTATTATTTTATTATTTTTTTGTGAATGTTTTATTATTATTAAAATCATTTAAAATGATTGATTCTTTAAAAAAAAAAATGTAATTATAATAATTTATAATTAGTATATATATATATATATATATATATATATATTTAGAGGTGTGCTTTGCATCAGTGTCCTAATGGTAAAACATACATACATTACTGTGATATTTGCCTGTGTGTGCCGTTTGACCTTTGCTTCACATGGCTCTTGTGCAGTCGGTTCCTTTAATCTCATCCCAATTAGTGGGGCGTATCACTGACAAAGGCAAAGGCGCTCAGTGCTTACAGGATGTGAGTGTCTGTCGTTGGCCTTTGAAGCGCTGCTGTGGGCAAACGTGCCTGCAGAGCAGCAGATGCCTGACAACTCCTCTGCCTGTCTTTCACAGGAACGCTCACTGCTGTGGAGAGCTTCTTAACCATCAACACGGGACCTGAGGTGAGCAACAACTCCTCATGTTTGCAGATCTATATCAAGGGTCCACAGGAATTTGATTGACTTATTGAATATGAGCTCTCAAAGGTTGGTTTGATCTAGGTTTAAAGCAGTGCTTAAATTAAGCTTTGGGAATTCACAATTGCAGCTGCTCATGAATAATGCAAAGAGCTCTCATATCCCAATGGACCAACTAGGAATTTGTGGGATTTCTTGTTAATGATGAACTTGATTGCAGAAGTAACATAGTTTTATAAAATTACATTAAGACTTTATATAAATTCCAGTGTAAGGGGAGCAGACAGGATGGAGTGAATATAATGAGAATTATGCTCCATATTATGTAGTATTTCATAAGCACTCTATCAAATTGTTATCGTATTTCCTGCTATTTTAATCGAGTATGAAGAGAGCTATAGCAGACTGTTTGCATCAGGCCCATTGCGTGTCCTCAATAAAGTAGTTGATGTCTTGGCTTTTGTTCAGCTGTCTTGTCTTCTTCATCAGGGAGGATGTGGCCATGATGCGACGTGGCAGTCAGCCATCTTTGGCTTTGCTGACAGTGCCAGTCTCAGAAGAATAAGGAGGAAGTTTGGGCATAAACCTCTGCCAGCTGTTGGCGCTAGAATTAAAAAGAGGTGGTTTTAAGTATTTCTAAAATAATTCTCAGCATTTCATTCTATTAATACTATCTTGATCATGATTTGTATGCTTTATATAGCAGCTGACTCCCAGAGGAGTGAAGGAGAATAGTTCTCAGGATGGAAATCTGTACTCGTGTTAATTTGCTTGCTATTTTGGTGTACCCAGGGGAGCTCTGTTCTTCAATAAGGAGATTGAGCAGTATGTCATTCCCTTCATGGGCTCAGATCCGTCTGTGGTGCGACGGACTCAGCGCTATATGCATGAGGAACATAAACACAGCCCTGTGAGTCTATAGACTGGCAAAAAATTTTTTTTGAAATTATCTGAAAATTTTTAAAGAAATTATTATTAACAATAATAAATGTTTTATATTTATTTTAATATTTTATGTTTATAATTTACTGTTTTATATATATATATATATATATATATATATATATTTAGAATTGCACGGTGTATATTTGTACTTAACATTTTTCCCCACTTCACTTTTTGCACATTGGGTCTATTTTGTCACAATGCATTATAGAATTACCTTTTGCAAGAAGGAACATGCTGCCTTGAAGAAAAGCACAGCCTTTTAAAACATCCTTTGCACTGCTCCTATGATATCATAAAATGCTGTCTCGTTAGGCACCTCACTAGGTTTTAGAACAGAACTTAGAGTCACTAAAATCTCAAATTGTATATATCAGTTATCTAAATATTGTAAATTGCTCATTGCTGAAAATTTTAATATGTATAAATATAAATGAAAACTTAATACATTATTATTTATAATATATATCATATGTATTTTAGTATATTTAATTTTTTTTTTTATTAATGTTATCCTTTCCCCTAATTTGTCACTTATAATTTCTCAAGTCATAATTTCAAGTCAAAATTTCTGCTCTTTTGTAGACCATGCCAGTCAGTTTTTGTTAGCAGAATAATTTTATCCCAGCGCAGCAGAAACCCAGTATTCATTTATCTTAAACTGTTATTTCAAAGATCTAATTATCTAATGGGTTCTTGACTACCCTTCTGCTTCCTCTTAAAAAGGCAGACTTTGACAGCTTCTTCCCTTGCTTTCCAAACTCCATTATGCCTCTTAGCAGTTTTAATTACATTTCTTTTCGATCTGTCTTGTGCGAGCATGATTACTGTGATAGTGCTCTGAAAGCCTTCATGGAAAGAGCAGGGGATGATTCACAGTCTTTGTGATTCATCGTCCTGCTCTTTCATCTCCATAGCAATGACCACAGCGTACAGGGTGCTGTCAGTATGGCCATTTTTGATTGATGTTTTGCTGTGGACCAAAAAGTATGTGTTAATAATTTAACATGAGTGTCACAAATGTGTGCAGTTTAATGTCTAACTCACTTTGTTGTCGTTTTTTTTTCCTTCAGTTTTTCAGTTTTTAATTGGTTTCCTCTATGCTCTTGTCCTCAGGTTCAGTATATGGCATATGTAGGTATTGGTGGTCTCTTCTCCGTGCTGAAGACCCTTTTTGCAGGTGTCGTCTTCTGGTTCATGGTCAAATTTAGTCTTGGCAGGGGATTGCTTACTGAGGTCCAGTACCATTTTAAAAGTCATTGGATTACTGTTGATCTGCTACAAGAAAATTTAATGGATAAAACTCTCATTCATACTGCAGAACATCAAGAACCACTTGTATAAACTCATGAATATCAACTCAAATATGTGTGTGTGTGTTTTTTTTTTTATTAGTTTCCAGAATTTTTCTCATTTGGTTTGTTCTCCAAGACTGGACCAACAAGAAAGCAGGTACAAAAAAATGCACTGAAATGTCTAAAACACAATACGAAATGCTAACATCTGTCATACACAGCCCTCGGTTGTGTTGTTGAAGTGAAATCTTATTCTTGTCTTATTCCAGATGGATGGAACCTCTTTCTGCCTAAAGTTCATGGGGGAGGGCTACACGAATGGTCAGGACCCCTCTCAGGGCAAACCAAATGCCACAATCAGCACTGAAATAACAGGACCAGGTATTGTCCTGCTCTCTATTTGATCAGACTCAAAATATTCACCCCAAATACTTAGATATTGTCACTACTGCCATATTTTGCAGAGCCAGGATACATCGCAACACCGATTACCATGGTGCAGGCAGCTATTACACTGCTTAACGAACCTCACTGTCTCCCTAATAAGTGAGTAAAATGACCTCAACGTAATATATGGATGATTCTTAAGTAAGCATATTGGTCCTGTGGAATAAAAAAAAAAACAGATATGGGCAACTATTTTAAAATGTTTTTCATATTCTCTGTTAGTTAAACAAAGCAAATAAACTACAATGTCCAATATTGGATATACAATATTGTTCAAAAGTTTGTGGTCGTCAGTAAGATTTTTCTTAATACATTTTTATTCAACAAGGATGCATTAAATTGATTAAGTGACAGTAAAGACATTTATAAGGTTACCAAGGAATTATATTTCAAATAAATGCTGTTCGTTTGAACTTACCATTCATCAAAGAATCCTGAAAAAATGTGTCATGGTTTTCACAGAAATATTAAGCAGCACAACTGTTTTAACACTGAAAATAATAAGAAATGTTTCTTGAGCACAGCATATTAGAATGATTCCATGTGGCACTGAAGATTTAAACTTCAGCTTAAGATTTTTACATATATAAATAGAAAACAGTTACTTTACATTGAATAATAATATTTCACAATATTACTATTTTTACTGTGTTTTGACCAAATAAATGCAGCCTTAGTAAGCACTTTTTTTTTTAAAACCATTAAAAAATATTACCGACCCAAACTTATGAACGGTAAGTGTAGATTCAGTCATTTTTGTAAAACCTGAACATTCACAAAACACTGTCATTTCCAACAAACGTGAAATTATGTGTTGTTTTAATTGTAGTTTTAATAAAAGTCAACCCCTGGGTGTCATATCTGAAGAAACATCCATGTATGCAATGTTTACACTGCGTTTCCCGATAACGCTGTCTCTTAGCGTGCTACGAAGCTACTTAACTAAAGGTGTACCTGTTCTAGGCGTGTTCCGCGAACTATACCTTAGGAGGAGGTTGCTTAAGATATACCTTCTCACGTGCGACGTTACCAGGTGCTGTCCATGACGGTGGTGCTGAATTGGTTGATATCAGTGGCTCGAGAATCGATTATTCATTCTATGCACGGGCTGCTTCACTGCGTTATGTGAGAAAGCCATGTTCTTTATAAAAGAAGTGTTGATTTTAAATAAATACACGGAACTCTTTCCTGTTAGAACGGAACGAATTTGCTTTTACTTTCGCTTTGCAACATACATCGTCAGGGAAGAAAACCATGAAAGAAAAATATATACCCTGAGCACCTCCCAGTGGTCACCACATAAAATACAAGGGAAAAAACCTACACAAGACACTGCTTAATAATTTAACAGCTTTTAACAGAAGAGAGTGAGAAACAAAAAACAAAATAAATAAATAAACAAACACCTTGGGCCTACACAAATCCAACAGAAAAACATTCTAGTAAGAGTGCTTTCCAACAAGAAGCACTTCAGAAAAGTTAAAATTGCATTTATCAGGACTCATGGGATCTTAAAAAAAAATATCCAAATTGCAAACTAAATCCAACCCTGGATATTTTATATAATTTTAAAATGACCCACAACTTCATGCCCAAGCGTATATCACTAACTGGCAGTATGCCTTCTCTGGCCTTTGAATGGGTCATTTATATTAGCATAATATATTTTCCATAGTGCCTTCATTTACTCCACAACCAGGGTTGATTGCCCAGCAGCCGCATCACATATTGTTGTAAATCACTAATTTCTGTTATTGGATGACCTACTCAATAAAAGCGCAACACAGGAAACATATGGCGGAGAAAAAAGAGAGAAAGAGGAGAGCCGTCAGCAGCAGAATTTCAGGGCTGAGGGGGTTGTTCCGTTGAGTTTGTCTCTTTTTTTATATATATAATTTATTTATCTTTTTTTAGAAAATTGCAGCTTAATTGAACACTGGGTGTATTACAACTTCAGAATTACATTCGTATAGACTGAGATGTAAAGGACTGTGAACTGTCAACATTGATAAGGTATAGCTAAGAGTGGTCCAGACCAACCTTACGAAAGTATGACTTACAGAAGGTATACTTAACTAAGAACATTTCAGGACACACATATTAACGTTAAGGTACAGCTTAAGGGATAACTTAAGAACAAAGTAGCGTTAAGATGTTTTCGGGAAACGCAGCCCTGATCTTCATTTTTTTAAGACACTGCAAAGGTTAGAGTTAAATTTACAGATTGATGCGGTGAATACTCAGTGTTATTTGTGTAGCACGTATGACATCCTGTCTCATGCAACATCCTTTTATTGGTCCTCACAGGGGTGGTGTGTACACTCCAGGGTCAGCGTTTGCAAGAACCACCCTAATCGACTGTCTGAACAAACACGGAATCCAGTTCTCACTGAAGAAGGGACAATAGACGAGTACTCTGTCAGATTCAATCAGCCTAGTTGATCTCATTTGTTATAGAAATAAAAAAAAAATGCATTGAGTTGTATAGCAAAAAAAATAGTTGTATGTCTGTACTTTGTGATTCATTAACCCTCAAGCATCCTTCAGGACAAATTTGGGCAAAATAATTATTATAAAAAAAAAAAAATAGTTTCCTTAATCTGAGCGGTACAAGACTTGACTACTTCTCCTAAGTTTGCCAGCTAAACACACATACAAAAAAATCGACTTGGTTCAGCAAAGTTAAGTGGTTGAAAGAAAAAAAACCCCGATATAATTTGTCCTCAGTGGGCACCCATAGGAAATGAATGGGAAATACTATAATTCAGAGCATTTTTAATTTGTCTAATAAAAATCAATATATCCAACACAATGCAGATCATACATACACATAAATGAAGGGGTGAGCCTATACAACATTCTCAATGTGACAAACACACACACCCATATACAAAGCATTGAATGAGCATATAACACAGCTTTGTTAGAAATAAATGACTACTTTTTCTCTTAATTTGTCTTTCCCTTATCATGGTCAGATTTGTCTTTAAGCATATTTTGGCATCTTTGTATAGTCTCGCCCAACACAACTGTTTTTTTTTATTCTACAATTTTAACTTGTGATAAAATCTAAAACTTAAGAGGTTAAGTTTGTTAGTACTTAAACAATAAACAGTAAACAGTGGTTTATAGATTTCAGCATATATTCAGCTATTAAGTACTACAGCCATATAGTGGCTATTGATATTTTTGATATTTTGATGGCATCATATCTCACCAGATTTCACCAAAGTTGCCAAATCTTTAGGTTTTGGCTGTCTGAACTTACTAGAATATATTTTTTACTTAAGTAAAATAAATATTAAATATAACATAAAAATAAGCATATTTTACATAGAAATATGGTACTTTTGGAGGTAAATAAATTCAAAAATCACAGAAAATTGCATAAATGTATAGTTTTTATTGAAGATAGTGATATGACATTTAAAAAATGTTTAAAAAAAAAAAAAGTAAAAAAAAACAAAAACAATTAAGGGCTACTATACAAAGAATGCTTGAGGGTTAAATGTCTCAGATCTTAAAGTATGTACTGTGAGCCCAAAACACTTTTGGACACTTAAGTCACATTAAATGACTAAATGTCAAACAAATTGGTGCTGATGCTAGAATGATGCTGGAAAAATGATGCTAAAATCTCAGCACTAGTATCACTTTCCTGAGGCAATTTTTCTGTTACAAATCTATATTTATTAAATATTTACAGAATAAAGAGAGAGATTTTAATATTTGTGAATTTGTCCTAACATGCTTTTGACAGGACTCTGCCACTAGGGGTCCCATTTTTCTATTTCCACATCTACCGATTATTTATGTGGAGATGACAGGAAAGGTCATTTGGTTTGAGAGGGGTAGACGTTGTTTGGGGAGATTAGAAAAGGCAATGAATAGATCTTTTTAAGGAAAAGAAGAGAGGTGGCTGGGGGTCGCAGTGGATTAAAAACGGGGACTGAAAGATGCAGGCCAAGGTTGAAGCGGCCTGGCAGGCATGAGTTAGTATGACTCAGCTTCAGCTGCTTGCACAGTCTCACAGGAAATAAAGAGATGCTGGGATGGAGCTTGTTTTAATGTGTATTTTCACACTTGACTAAACAGTAGAGTGTGTTGTAAACACAGATTTTGCATACATGTATTGAGGGTGTGCAGAATATAAGAGAAATGAATAGAATGGCGTAAAGAAAGACTTACGTGTGGGATCATTCCTGATATGCAGTACCTAAAATGCATGTGTTCTAATAAGGAAGTATTTTTTAAATAAAAGTTTACAACTAAAAAGACTTAAAGGGATAGTTCACCTAAAGATTAAAATTCTTTCATTTCCTCTCCCTCAAGTTGTTATAAACCTGTACGTGTTTATTTCTTCTGGTGAACACAAAAGAAGATATTTTAAAGACTGATGGTAACCAAACAGTTGCTGGTAGCCATTGACTTCCGTAGTATTTTTTTTTTAAATGTAATATATTTGTGTGTGTGTGTGTGTGTGTGTGTGTGTGTGTGTGTGTCTGTGTGTGTTCAACAGAAAAAAAGAAACTCATACAGGTTTGGAACAACTTGAGGAAGAGTAAATGATGACAAAATGTTCATTTTAGGTGAACTATTTCTTTAAATAAGCTCAGGTGCTTAGGCTTTATCAGTTTACAAGAATTGCTAATACTTTGTCATGTTTGTGCTGTCACTTCCCCAGGGAAAGTTATGTCACTTACTGAAGGATGATGTCAACACTGGCTATTGTTAGCCAAAATTCATTACAAACCTTGTGGAAAAGTGTATACCTTAAAGCAGGGGTGTCAAACTCAGTTCCTGGAGGGCCACAGCCCTGCAGAGTTTAGCTCCAACCCTAATTAAACACACCTGATCCAGCTAATCGGGTCCTTCAGGCTTATTTGAAAACTACATGGTATGTGTGTTGGAGCAGCCCTCCAGGAACTGAGTTTGACTCAAAAATGAAATTTTTGTCATTTACTCACCCTCATGTTGTTCCAAACCTGTATGAGTTTCTTTCTTATGTTGAACATGAAAGCAGATATTTTGAAGAATGCTGGTTATCAAAGAGTTGACGGTCCCCATTGACTTCCATAGTAATTCTTCAAAATATCTTCTTTTGTGTTCAACATAAGAAAGAAACTTATACAGGTTTGGAACGACATGAGGGTGAGTACATTATGACAATTTTCATTTTTGTATGAACTATTACTTTAAAAGTGTACTTATTTGGAAATAATGTAGGCTACTTACATACTTTAAAGGGGTCATATGATGTTATTTTAAAGATCATTATTTTGTGTAAATTTACAAAGTGAATGTCAAGTTTACATTTAAAGTACCTTTTTAACCAACCATCTTTATTTGTCATTTTATAATTACTTTACTGTTGTCTTTGAAATTTGGTTAAAGTGTACTGCTGAATGTACCGACAGGTGTTAATGGTAACTAAAATATTCTCAAAATCATATACTATGTCATAATGACCTGACTTATGTCTTTCTGTTGAAACCGAAATGATGCATGTAATGATTAAATGTAAAATATATTTACTTTAAACGTAATATTCAATAAAACTACAGTTAAAATTATAATCAAGTACTTTACATGTGCTTTAGTATTTTAGTCATCACATCAAAACAAGTACTTCTTTAAAACAAGACAAAAGATTATTGAAAAAAAAAGTACTTTAAAGTAAAACATAATTTGACTTTTTAAAAATAACATAGTCATGTAGTTTCTTTAGATATTTCTTTAATATTATCATCAGCAAGTACGGTTTTATAAAATACGTTTAAAAATACTTTTAAGATTTGAAGTACACTGCAAGTATATATTCAGTACAGTGAAGCACACTTGTTTTTCAATTGGGAATGAATTATTTTAAGGACAGAGGAAGAAATCTATAGATTATTCTCCAATTAAAACCAAGAAAACATGCTTTACCTGAAAGAAAAAAATGAATAAACACCTAGAATATTTCTAAATAAATTACCAGTTTTGAACTTCAAATGGGGACAAAATTTACTGCATAATGGGAAAGACCCGGTGTTTGTAGATTTGAGACTCCTTTGTTTTCTTTCTTTCTTTCACTGTTATTCCCATATTCCCGTCGCATCCTCACCACCACATTTGTGTGCTCTTTAACACATCTTTATCTTTCAAATGCCATTCCCATTCCTCTTTTCCACCAAGCCTGCATTCCAGTCCAGAGGCGTCTCTCTCCGGCACATTGTACATAAAACCCTTATCAGTCTTCAGTACTCTGTCTTTCTCTTTCTCTCCCTCTCCCTCCCCCTCTCCTCCCTCATTCCAGTCCTCTAGAGGAACATTGTTTCTCTTGCCATGTTTTAGAGCGCCTGGTACTCAGAATCTGCTGCAAAGCCTTATGTAAGTCGCCCTCCCTTATCGTGCGTTCAAACGTCACCCTCCATCTCAGTCCTCCCTCCTCCACCCCTCCCGAGAAGCACGGGCGGTAGTCCGGCGGATCGCATTAAACGACCGCACGTGTAATCTCGGAGGGTTAGGACTGTGTGCGATCTTTCTCGGCTCGCCACAGGAAAGTGTCAAAGATCTGGACAGATCCGATGAAGCCGTGCTAATATGTTGCTGTGAGCGCTGGGGCGGAAGTGTAGGATTTGTTGTATGATTTGAACTCTGCTCTGCTGACTACTTAATAGTGGGCTTGTTTTGTGGTTGCAGGACATCGGGCGGGGGAAGAGCACTAGAGCACTATGCAGCTTCACTTACAGCTACGGGAGGAGGAGGAGGAGGAGAGAGGGGGGAGGGGTGATGAAGGTGTGGAGAAAGTGAGACACGGAGGGTGGGGATGTGAATGAAAGAGGGGGCTGAGGAGAGGATGTGAAATTCAGTGAGTGACTCGAAGACGGAGCGAAGGCGTGACGTTTTGACTTAATGTGACAGCAAGAGAACATGTTGGTTCAGTGGGACATCAACAGCGGGAGGACAGACTGAGCGCTAAGGGGAGTTTAAACTATTTTGAAAGAAATGTTTATGGGTACACTGTGGGAAAATGATTTTTCGAACTTGTAAATAAAACATTATTTTAGCGTATGTTTTACAAGAAAATAGTGTTTGTAAACCTAAAAACTGAAAGTTTAATTTAATATGTGGCTTGCCATTTCTTTGTAATTATTTACAAGCAATTTCTGAGTGAAAATTGATTCTAAATTTTTGTTTGAGTACAGTAATTATTATTGTTAAAAAATCAGATGTCAGCAGATTTAGATAATTGCATTTACTCTAATAATTTCTGGCAGTAAATATTAAAACTCTGTAAATACACATTCAAAGGTTTGTGGCTGATAATATTTTTCAAATGTTTTTTTTTATTTGGTCAAAAATGTGGTACTTTTATTACATTATGTATATTTATATTATATATTTTAAAATATGTATTTATTTGGTGTAATATGTGCTGATTTGGTAATAAATAATTTTTATCTTATTTTATATATATATATATATATATATACACACACATACATATACATACATACATATATTGTGGAAATATAATCATGACATGATCAATTTAATGCATCCTTGCAGACAGACAGACAGACAGATAGATAGATAGATAGATAGATAGATAGATAGATAGACGGAACAAACAGCCACTCTTTAAAGATATTTTGCTGTGTCTCAGGTTAGTCCTTTGTCTGAGAGAGGTTGCATCTTTGTTGTAAATCTCCAGTATCTTTAATTACCTCTGGGTCAGCAGAAAAGCACACTACAGCACCTCGTTCATCAGCCAGCCCCACACACAAGGCCAGAATGAGAGAAAATCACATTTGTTTTTCCTCAGGAGGGAATGCAGCTCACAGCACTCCATTTTATCAACTGAAGGGCTGGATTTCACAGAGGAAAACGCCCCATTCCCTGTCTCACATGTCTGTCGGTTCACATTCTAAATAAAGCGTGACGCACACTGCACTTATCCCTGCCAGCATAACTGACATTATCACACATATACAGTATAGGATCATTCAACAGATGCAGCTTTGTTTACAAACAAACAAGCCTATAGAAAACCAGCAGCTGAGACATTATTTAGACAAACCACATGTGCAACATTTAATCTTCATATTCCATTACTATAATCCCTTCTTTTTTCTTTTCTGTGAGATGACTCCACTTTAAAAATGGTGGGTAAACAGAGTCTGTCCAGCTTTCTATGCCTGCAGTGTGGATATTTTTATGGTAATGAATATTTAATGTAGCTCAGTGTTGCCTGATATTGCAACACCTTTTCCAAACGTTTAATACAGAAAGTGTGTGACGATACAAGAGACATGAGCTTGCGTCCTATTAGCTCCAATGTTTAAACATTACCTCTATAAAAATGATTGGAAACAAAGCCTTTTCAATAAATCTCATATATAGTGTACCCTTTTTTCTCTTTTG